TTTAAGCATGTGGAAAGTCACTGTCAACTTTAGAATATTCTACGATGAGCTGTTCGAGCGGGATGAGTGAAAAGTGAGTTCTTATTGGTTAAGCGTTAGTATTTTCGTTGCTTCCATTGCTTAAAATTTAACTATAGACATTTCAATTATTCACTTATTTTAAAGATAACATCAGTCATAATTACTAGCTTACGTCTCGATTTGATAAAAAAAACTATATTGGATGTATTTAAATATTTCGCTACATTATACTCGCAATGTCAGATGAATTCAATAAACAATATTACGTGGTAGTACACGTGGTCTATGCCACCAAATTTATATATTTTGAGTTGTCTGATACCATGCGCTTTTTTATTTATTTACATTATTTCTTTCAAAACGTGTTTCAAAAAATGGAATTTATTTAAAATCAACAGTAATTAATAGAAAAAAAAATATTTATGTTTTCAAGGGCACAATAAATGGGAATGTGGTACTAATTCACTAAGGAGAAACGTAAAAAATCGCCATCTTATTATTGACGCCAATGACGCTTAAATAATTTAGGTAATCTATGCATATTGAATGACGCTTAGTTAATGTTGGTAATATATATTAATTGAAACTAAAGAAAAAGACTTTTGAACTAAAAAGCGAAAATAATGGAGAAAAGGTACTTATTCGTTTTGGGAAACCGTAAAAAATAGCCATATTATTATCGACACTGATGCTTAATTGATAATATAGTAGTAATTGAAATAAAATAAGTTATGCGCTAAAAGGCTAAGTTAAAGGAGAAACGGTTAATTGGAGATTCGTTAAGGATAACCGTAGAAAATCGCCATTTGCAGATGACACTTAATTGAAATTTACTACTGATATATATACTACTGGTATTATGGTAACTGGTGCAGTTTTGATAAGAATTCTACAACGGATGTTCCGCAGTTTCCGAAAATATTTTTCCAGTGGTAGCAAAGATAGTGCATTAATATTTTAATGTATTGGAAAATAAGTGTTTACGTCCAATCCAAATGGATATGTACCGGAGAAAATTACTTGATAGTGGTAAATTTTGATTATCATGTGTTGTTCACGAGCAATAGCATCATAACGAGTGATGCTAAATACAATTTATCTTTATTCTAATGGGATAGACTAGAACTTGCTTACTTCAATAACGTAAAGCCACCAAAAAAAGCAACAAAGAAAGCAGCAATTGAAATTATTTTAGTTACATTAATTTAAAAACTTAGTGGAAGAACAGGTAAGGGGCATTTTTAGAACGAAAAAAAAAAGTTGTATCTGAACCATTTTATTACCAATTTATTAGAAGACGGGATTGTTTGGTTTATTTTATTTAACACCGCCAAAATTTGAAATAAAAATCATGCAAGCGTACTAAAAACCAATTGGCTTCGTTAAGTTAAGATTAAAGTGAAAGCAAAAACAGTTCTGTTNAGCGAGCAGAATAACTGTATATATATATATATATATATATATACAGTTATTCTGCTCGCTATAGTTATGCATTTATATTAATTATGAAGAAATGCCCGTTTCTAAAAATTTGCATTAATATTTCTCATCAAAGAAAGAAAAAAGAAACTAAATTTATTGATAAAGAAATATGTTTTACTGATAACCATTCTAAAAGTTTAATAAGAGTTCTCTTTTGTTTTCATTTCAACAAAAACATAATTAAGCTTGTTTTATTCCTTTAGTGTTCATGCATACACGAAAAAACTCATTCAGAACTAGGTTAGATATCTCTCCAGCCCTGCGTATTCAATTGTCAAACATAAAATCTAATTTAAAGCGATGAAAAAAATATCTTTCTTTCCATTTTAATTACATAGTATAGTCAGTTAATATATTCAGAGTTGCTAATGAATTTTATTTATGAAGTCAGAGTTCTGCCAAAAGAAATGTGATCATTTAGTTTTCCAAAGCCGAATGAAAATTTGAGAAGGCCATCTGAGCTAGAGTACTGAAATCTCTATATGAGTTTCGTGTTTGGTAGCCAATCACGTTTAAATCAAAATCAATCGCTAATCAAAATGATTCCGACAGGGATAGTCTGGCTGGTAGGATGTTAGACTCCTGTTCGTTAGAACGGAAATTCGAATCCCACCGGCCGAAGAAACCCCATGCGTTTGGGCACGTGAAGACTGCCGGAGTCCCGAAATCCTCCAATTTCCCGTAACAAATCAATACCTCTGGGGGTACTGAATTAGAGATTGATCGTTCTCTGGTTCAGATCAAAAGTACGATCTGTGGATTATAGAATAGATGCATGAATGTGTTCACTCTGTAAAACGGGCTGAGACAGGTGTGTGTGTGTAGCTGAAATCGTATTCTTTGCCATTGTTGACTTCACTGAAAAACAGGAAATGCACCCTTTGTCTTAGATTCGCTTTTTTCCCAAGCAAACTTGCTAGCATAGTAGTCAATAGAAACAACAAAAACAATTCCGAATACTCTTCGAATAGCTAGAGCAGCGGTTCTAAATTTCTTTTGACTAAGGAGCCCTAAATCAGTATTCCCCAAATAATGCTCCGTTTTACCCTCGGGATCCATGGAAAAGTGAAAAGGGTTCCTCGAGTTAGTACTTTTTATAACTAGTGAAGAGTTTTATAACCTCTGATTATATTTAGATCCAATCTATAAATCATAATTGATTTAATCTTTTGATTAAGAAATAAAAATGGCATTTTTAAAAGAAAATTTAATATTTCTAATATAATGAAGAAATTATGAAAAGAACAAGCATTTATAAAATATTACATTAGTATTTCTCATTACGCTTTTCAAATCAAAATAAAATAACTAATATCTTTACAAACAAATTGTATTTCCCTAATAAGCATTTCAAACGTAGTTTTATGTTTCGAAGTAAACCACAGTTTGTTTTGTTTTATTCATTTTCGGCTTATGTATATACACCAAAAACAAATTGATAACTAACTAGACTAGATATAGCACAAGGACTGTAAATTTAACTGTTGAACATAAAACTTAATTTAAGATTACTAATAGTAAAACAATTTAAAATCTTCATACCTGTCATTAAATACTTAAAATAAGTCTTTCAAAGGTTATAACGTTCATAATCGTCTTAAACTTTATTTATATAGTCAGGGATTCGCCAAAAGAAGGTTGATTATTTAGGCATCCGCTGCCGAAAAAAATTGGGAACCTCTGCCCAAAATAATCCACCTTTTTCCGATGGAACCCCAACTTTATAAATGAAAAAGTAAAAGGAAATTTGAGAGAAAAAAAAAGCAGTCGTGCTCGTAATTACCAATAACAGACTTATTAACTAATTGACCAACGTCACAACCAGCTAGAGCATTCAAATTTCTATGTTGGATGATAAGACCGCTACAGAGAGAATTTTATTCCAGATACAATTTAGCGCTTATTGAAATTTTGTCTATTTTTCGATTAACAAAAAGCACAAGTTACAACTCGATTCTCATGCCTGTTGACAAGTCGAATTGCTTCTTAACTTAGTCATATTGCTTCTTAAACTTTTAAAACAAAATTTATTTTCCTTATGCCCTTATATAGCAATTTGGGAGATAGTTCTTCGTAAACTAACTCTAAAACAATAAAATATATATATGGACGTAAAGAAAAAAATGTTTTTTTTCTTCTTTTTTTAATTTTTTCAATTAATTTTATTTTTTTTCTTTACGTGTTTACATAAATTGATTTTATCAAAACTAAATTTCATATAGAAAATTGTGATATTAAAAAATATACCTATATTTCCGCTAGAAGTGTCCCAATTTTATTTTCTTCATGCTTAATTGAGAAATCATTTGCGTTTTAAATTTTTAAACTTTTTTTACTTTTCAATCTTTTAATTTAATTTCATTATTTTTCCTTTACTTAAGTAACTTTACTTATGTAAATAGTTATTTACATATATTGATTTTATCAAAATTAAATTTCATGCAGAAAATTGTGATAAAAAAAAATCTGCCGGAAGTGTCCCAATTTTACTTTCTTCATAAGACTATTTGTGCTTTAAATTTTTAAAATTTCAGTCTCTTTTAATTTTTTTAAAACATCCAGTTCTTCATAAAAAAAACCATTTCAACATTTCTTTTTTAGAATGCTCTACAAACAATAAAAAACGTATTTTAAAAAATGCATTGTGAGAAAGAACACAGCATCTAATGTGAAAGGCATAATTGTAATTAGCCTTTTGGAAGAAGCAAAACAAATGTTTTACATTTTTGTTTAATACTGCGACACAATGTTTCTTTTTTTTTTAGAATTATTTTTAAAAGATTACGAATTGATTTAAAGTAAATAAAATAACAAATGAATAAAATAAAAATTAATAAAATAAAAATAAATAAAATAAAAATATAACAAAATAAAAATTAATAAAATAAAAATAAATAAAATAAAAAAATAACAAAATAAAAATTAATAAAATAAAAATAAATAAAATAAAAATAAGTATCATAGACATTAAATTTTTTTGTTCTTTTCAAAAATCTGAAGCATCTAAAATGAGGCCTTTCGTTATTGCACAATATTTATTTAAATTATAAATTTTCGAAATGTCAAAAGTAATGTGGTTTTTTAAAATATAAAGTCAATCTTTTAAATTAGATTAAAAAGTACGAAGTTATTATGTACTTGTACAGTATTTTGTACTAGTAAAGCACTTGTTATTTTGAACAAAGTATATAGGCTTTTTATAATTGTTAAACGTATATGAAATAACTGGTTTTTAATAATGCCTAATCATATAATTTATTTATACTAAGTTAAATAAAGTCCTCTGCATTTACAAAAATATTTAATTAATAAATTCTTAAAAATATTTTAACTTACAAGTAAACATAAATAATAATCAATCTTTCTTAACTTTACAATCATCAATGTGATGAATATTTTTAATGTGTCTGATTTTTAGAAGTTTTTAATCCAAGTGATCCGAACTAACGAGTCAATAAGTTAGAGTTTCTGTTGATCGCTAAACGTTCAGCCAACTGGCGAATTTATTTTTACCGCCAAACTGCCAAGTAGCCAACTTCAGTTCAGCACATGAATGCAGATTGTAAACAAACACTTCGATTTTCATTTACCAAGTTTTTACTGAAAGAAATACCTCAGCAATTATTTTCTATTTGTTAATTAGTAGTATGGAAAACTATTTTTTATAATTCGATTGTTTATATCAGGTTGCTTACATGACAATTTCTAAAAAGATAAGTTAGAGTAAGTGTATGTTTTCGATAAGTAAAAAAAAAATTGAACAATAACATAAGTAACTTAAAGTAAAGAATCTGTTTTATTTATTTAAAGTTTTTACTTTAAAGATATTTTTATTGCCTGATTATCTGAATTTTTTGATTCGTTAGCACTTTTTTTTTTCTTTTCATTTCACATTTGCTGTATTTTAATACATTTTATTTCTGTTAAATCTTATCTTTCTTTTTGTATTTGTGTTCCCTTATTTTTGGGTGTACAAACTTTTCTTTTGGATATACTTTGCTTGACTTGTTTTTGTGATTAGTAATATTATTGTGTTTAAATTTTGATGCTATTGAAAATAAATAATCGACATTTTGTTTCAAAAAGATATGAATAAGTAGAAGGGTATTAAAAAATTAACCCTACTAAACAAAACACATGTGGCTATTCAAAATAATGGGTTGTATTCTTATATAAATGTACGGGGCTGTAAAAAAGTATTGAATTATATTCCCTACTTAATGTGGTATGATAGTACTTATTCCAATTCATTATTTTTTTCTTTGTTTTTTTTATGTTGTTTTATTCACTATAATTATACATCTGAATTCAACATACTGGTGCGGGAAAGATTCTAAATTCCACATAGTTTTTGAAATGGATACATTATTGCTACTGGAAATATCACAATAATGTAACAATTTTCTGTTTAATGTTCAAACTACAATTAATAACATTTTCGAAATTGAAGCTTATTACTTTAAGTAACACTTTTGCAAACCTTTTTTTATCTTTTTTGTTTTGAATCATTAGAATTTATTGTGTAGCCTTGTTAGAGTTCAATGGAAATATTGTTTTACTTATATCAACCTCTGAAATAATCCTGCTTACTTTGAATCAGGTGAAAAGGTAACTTAAGGAATGGTATTTATTAATTTGTCAAAATTTCGTTAACGTCGCAGGCATTATGAGAAACTACGTAATCTCATTTGTCAAAGCAATCAAAAAATGTTTAACAATTCAATATGTTTTTTTTTAAATCTGTAATATATTTTTTACTTAATTTAAATCTTTTCAAGCAGAAAGTTTATCAAAAGAACATCTGGATGTAGGTTTTATGAACCTCGAGGAAAAAACTTATTGCAGTTCCTATGCTCCTTACACAAAGCATAATTTATATATTTTTTTAAGGCATATCATTAAGCTATTTTTGAAATTGTTTACACTTTTAACTCTTAAGTTGTCTATGTCCCTAAGTAACTGTCACTTTTGAAAACTTAACATACTGTACTGATTTTTATCATTAATTTTTTACTGAAATTTTTATTATAGTAGAAGATCATTATAATTCCAACCTTAAAATATGACACTTTGCATTGCATATTGTTTTGTGTTTTTATAAATAATTTCACGAGTCATTTTTGAACTTAATTATTAAACATCACAAATCTGAAACAAATCAATATTTAAATGCTTTAAACTAATTTTTAGATTCAACTTATTTTAAAACACGAAAACATGTACTTAAGTATTCCTATTAAGAAGGTGAAAAACTAAAATTATCAAGGGGTTTAGAATAAAAAAAAAATTCTTTTTTGATTTGCTGTAGGAATTGCAACTTCTTAGTAACTTTTCTTGCTGTTTATGAACAGTTAAGGTTTCTGTGTGGTTATGTATTATTTAAATACTTATTAAATAAATGAGCATGATCTAGCATCTCACAAACACATTTAATGATAATCTAACAAGATACACATACACAATCTCTAGTTTAGATCCTGGAATTAAATGTTTCCTATTCCATCGAAGCCAGGGTTGGCAGGTTTTTGACATGTGACAGTTTTTGACAGTTTAAACCATGGTTTAAACCGTCACGTCAAAAACCTCACTGTCAAAAATATCGAAAATGTCAAAAACCTATATTCATATGTGAAATTTAATTTTAATTAATACATAAAATTTATATATTTTTTAAAGGATAGTGTTTCTAAATATGTTCTAGAAAAAATAAATTTAAAATTTTGAAGAAACACTTATATTTTGAATAGTAACCAAAATCTTGTACTTTTGAAAACTCACATCTTTTGTAATATTATGTATTCATTTTCATGTGTTATTGAAAATCTGCAGTGATATTATTAAGAAATTTATTTATAACCAAATTTAGTGTA